GGGAAGTGGGAGGGGTAGGGGACAGGAAAGAAGGGAATGGAATTAATATGAGAAAATGAAAAAATGGAAACAAAGTCTTTGTAAATAGGGAGGGCAGGGGAAGGGGGAAAATAAGAACCAAGAGAGATTATGTAAAGGTGCAAATTCCCACTGATGAATGTCATTATATTGTACACCTAAAATGTACCAATAAAATAATCTTTTTTAAAAAGTTCTCTTCATGCTCTACTACCTATGATTCTACCATCTCTATGAAGATGCGTGGGTGAACAAACGTTAGAGAAGATTGTAGCGAATAACTTTCCCAGGCTTACATGTCTGGCACATGGGTAGTTGAGGGCAGCAAGGAAGCTGGTCCAGAAAGTTGGAGTCTTGTTATATGACATTAGGTGATTTTATTCTCTTTGCCTCAGTTCCATACAAAATGAGAAAGGAATTTGAGGCCAAATGTGGAAAGTTACACTTAGAATCCACACCTATTATTTCATGTGTTCAACACTTCACTTTTTTGGGACCCAGCACTAACCTTCTGCCTTAGTCACTTTCTGGCCACTGAAACACAGTATCCAACAACTTAAAGGAGGAGAGGTTTATTTCCTCTCACAGTTTGTAGAGGCTTAAGTCCATGGTAGGCTGGCTACAAGACAAAATGGCATGGCAGAGGGGCATGGTGGAGGAGAGCCACTCATGGCATGGTGGACAGGAAGCAGAGTGAAGGTCGGAGTTGGGAAGGAGAATATACCCTCTTAGACCACGAGCCCAGTGTCCCACCTCTTCCAACCAAGCCCTACCTCCTAGCAGCACATTTAGGTATAAACTCATGAGTAGACAAATTCACCCATGAGTATCATGCTCTCGTGTTCTGATCACCTCCAAAAAGCCCTTCCTAAGAGCACATGAGGTTCTTTAGATATAAACCATAACAACTTTATGGAAATTTTTGGTTTCTTTTTTTTTTTTTTTTGTCCTGAGGATCAAACTTGGGTCCTTGCACTTTCGAAGCAGGCGCCGGAACCACTGAGCTAAATCTCTGGCCCTTTCATGGAAATTTTTATGGGATCTGTCATGTTTAGTCCTTCATTCATTCATTCATTCATTCAACAAATAATGACTGTCAAATCTGATACTATTTTAGATGCCATACATACTGCAATGAACAAAGCATCCTTATCCTCATGGAACCTATATTCTATGTATCGTGTCAGATGAGATATGCAATAGAGAAAAATGAAGCAGGCAAGTGAGGTGGTCAAGTGCTGTGTAGAGGGATAGAATGTATGAGGTACTATGTTCTACATGTGGTCAGAAGTGACTTGACTTAGAACACTTTTGGAACTAGATCAAAACAGGATAGTTTAAGCCAAAGAGGTGGAATGAGGATTAAGGGGAAAACCCTATTAGACGTCTTAGGTAAAATGGTGTTGACCCAGTAAATTAACAGAACCAGCCTGAATTTAGAGTTCTGAGCAGGACTTCGAGGAGTAACTCCAAAGGAGAGTGCACCAGGAGTTTATTGAACTGGGTTTTTATAGAGCGTTAGTGGGATGGGCTTAGGTGGGGTGGGGAAAGGAGGAGCATGAGATGGGGAAGCAAGAATAGCTGAATAGCAACAGCTGAGAGGCAACCTCGCAATGGCTGGGGTTTTGTTGTGAAACATCTGTATCCAGGTGCTCTGGGTCCTACCAGAGCGGGGGTGTGGGGAGTGAACAGGATGTGGGAGTCCGGCCGCGATTGTTCCCAGGACTCAGGCAGTTGTGAGCAGCCGCTCTAGGAACTCAGTGGCTGGGGGCAACGGAGAGTCAGACCTATCAAGAAGCAAGAGAGAATGAAAAAGACACGGGAGACCTCCACCCGCAGCGGCCATGAGGTGAGCAGCTTTCCTCTGCCCTGCCCTTCCGCCATGATGTTTCTGCTCTGGAGCCAGCCAAACACTGACTGAAATCTCCGAAACTCTAAGCAAAACCAAAACAAAACAAAATCAAAAATATCCTTTCTCGTACTAAGTTGATTTTCTCCAGTACTTGGTAATAGCAATGAAAATCTAACTAACACAACTGGGAAAGGCCCCTTTATTGGTTGTTGTTTAAGCTGGCAACCTCACATACAAGTCTCTGGCCAAGAGGAGAACACCTGTCCCCTTCATGGAAAGGGGAAAATCTTGAAGCAGGCTCAGATATCCACTAATCACGTGACAGGCTGATCTTTTCACCTGGTCTAGGTTTACAATAGACATGAGAATATGAGGCTTCCTTCTAGGAGTTTCAGCTTTCTACCCTACAAAACCTTCTCCAGAGATATTTTTTTGCTTGCTAAAAATTGTGGTGAAATATATACAACAGAAGACTTTTCCATTTTCACCATTTTAAGTATATATTACTATGGCATTAAGTACATTCCCATTGTTGTATATTCCAGATAAATATTCAATTTAAGTCTGGTATTCTGGTTGAAATACAGAAGGATAAAAAGACAGGGAGAAATAAATTCTATATTTATGATGATTGTTCTAACATGTATTTGTTACATGATTAGGGGCCAATTTAAATGGGATCCCCTAACTGATAATCATTAGGACAGTAAATGTTAATGTCCAAACGGATGAAGAGAAAAAGTAGCTGTAAGGAAAAGTGGGAAACAATGCAGATAAACTTATCTCACAATACAACACTATTTAATGCATCTGGAGTAAAAGTAAATGTAAATGGTGAAGAAGTTTTCACCGTTCTGCCTTTCCAACACTTGGGAGGCTGAGGAGGGGGTATTGCAGGAATTCGAGGCCAGCCCAAACTACAGAGTAAGACCTTGTCTTAAAACAAAACAAAACAAATCAACAACAACAACAATAACAAAACAAAACCCATTCTGCCTTGTGCCAGGATCAAAATAATGTTTTCAAATTTTGTGGAAGATTGTGTAACTTTTAGAATGTCTCAAATTTAAAATAGTATAATTTTATGAATTTTAATGATATTGTTGTGGTGGGGGTTGGTTTGTTTTTGTGTTTTGTTTTGTTTCGTTCCTGGGGATTGAGCCCAGAGGTACTCTACTATTGAGGTACATCTCCAGGTTATTTTAGTTTTTCATTTTGAGACAGGGTCTTGCCAAATTGCTTAGGCTGGTCTCAAACTTGCTCCCCTTCTGTCTGTCTCCTGAGCAACTAGGATTACAGATGTGTGCCCCACGGTGCTCAGCTCTATAATGCTTTTTGATATTCAAGCAATGTATACTAAGGAATGCAACCTACGGAAAAGTTGGTAGTAAAAAATCTTGGAATTGTTAAGAATTTCACGGGGGGCGATGGGGACCTGGAGAGGAAAAGGGGCAGGATGTGAGGCATCAAAATAAGCCCAAGTGATTTACCATCGGCTTAGCCAAGTTTCTTTCAGAAGTCTGAAGGTCTTGTATTCACTTATTCATTCCCAAGTATTTATTTAAGCACCCTTTCATGTATGTCATTTGAGATACAGCAGTAAGATACACAGGTCCCTTGCTTCAAATTTACATTGTAATTCTAACTGAGTTTACACTCAAGGGCGTTGTAATGCTAAGCCATGGTGTATCCAAGAGTAGGATAAATCAGATGAACCAATCTGATCTTCACAAGCTGCAGCAAAAATCAGCAAGGCACGTTAAGTTTTCTATTCTTGAATGTTAGGTCCTCTTAGTTCCAGAGGGCAGTGCGGTGGGATAAGAAAAGAGTCCCCTATCTAAAATATACAGACTTGCTGTTTGGATTCGGCAGTTTGGGACTGCAACTCCAAATTGCTCCTTTGGCACAGAACTACCTCTATGTAAGAAGTGAAGAGGATTACAGGTGAAAACCCAGTTCATCAGAACCCAGATACTGAACAGCAAACCCCGGCCTGTACGAGAATGCTATGGACTACAAATCCCATAAGCCCATGCGGCCGTACCCTTTCTATTCCTACAGGGGAAAAGGGGATGTATGGCGCACTCTTGTTGCGTCATCAGTGTGTGCCACCCCTGTAACAAGTCTAGGCTGCAAAAGCATGGCAGCTGCTGAGGCAACGTTACTGTCGCAGTCTTTGAAAACAGACAGAGCCCCAGGCTCTGAAACTGCAGAAACAGCCGCAACAGTGGCTAGGACATCTGTAGCAACGGCTGCGGCTGCGGCGATCGTGGCCGCTGCGAGAACCGGATCCGAAACCAGGGTCTCCAAGGCTGCTTTGGCTACTAAGCTGCTGTCACTCAGTGGCGTGTTCGCGGTGCACAAGCCCAAAGGGCCCACTTCAACCGAGCTGCTGAATCGGTTGAAGGAGAAGCTGCTGGCAGGTACTGCAGCCCGGGTGGGGACCTTAATTGAGTTCACAGCGTTGCAGTTTCTGCAGGCTTTACTAGTAAAATTATTTAGGTTATCAAAGGATCTCCAGAGTTTGGTCCTATCCTGTCTTGCCATTAACCTAATATAGGAAATATTTTCTTACCTTGTTATGTATCTGCTGGCATACTTTATATTTTTTAAAAATGCAAAACTAAATCATTCTGATGGAAGTCTGGTAACTATAATGGCCATAATACAAAATTAAATGTTTATTGGCAAATATGTACCTTCTTACATTTGTTTAATTCCAGTGTTATACATGCTCATTCTTTCCTAATATTTTGTAAGAATGGATCATACGAGGAATGTTGAAGCAAGGAGTTGCATTAAGGGTAAATTTAAAGACCCACCCCCTTCCCTGCCATAGGCTTGCTGTTTTTATTTAGCCTAATTTGTTAAACTATGGTTTTTTTTTTTTTTTTGATCCTCCAGGTAATTATTACCATTCTTTTCCTCAGACAAGTTTTTGACAGGATCAAAGCCATACCCTGGCCTTCTGGTTAATCTGCTTCCAAGAAGATTTTTTTTTTTGAAACATGGTTAAAGTAGATTGTTTCAAAGCTATTACTAGGCCATTTTCTGGAAATCCCTCATTGTGATGTTGGTATTCTTGTAACCCTACTGATTGACCTGTTCTGTGTTTTTGTTAGCTAGACTAGGGTTCCCCAAATGCCATTCTAACCAGCTGTCAGAATTACCTGGGAAAGTTCTTAAAGATGCCCACGTTCTGATGCTGGTCAGGCTTGATGAGCACTAATTAAAGCCATGGTCAGTGGTGATAGCCTTTAATAACATTCTTTGTCTTTTCTTACATTGTCATACTGTCATACTGTAATCCCCACTCTTCTTTGTTTAAATCCTTCAAGGCCTTAAAATATATTCATCCATAAATAGTTGGTTCAGTAGAGTGAATTTTTGAGGCCTTCATACTCTGAGGAGTACCAAGCTGAAAATACAAAGAATTCCCCAAAAGATTCCAATAAATTCATAAGTGAGACATCCATGAGGTATTATAAGTGAAAGGGGAAAGGTTTGAAACTTAAGCCTAACCTTAGAGGTTTATGTCAAAAGCCATGCTTATAGTTCCAAAGTACTCAATTTTGTCCTTAAGACAGGAATAAGAGAGAAGCCAGGATTGTGTCTTCTTTTTTAATCCAAATGCTTCAGAGGCTAAGAAGTAACTTAACTGTTACCTATTTCTTTTAGCTTCTTTAACGTATTGAGAGTTTTTATTAAGAGAGTAGGACAAGTAAACTTAGTTTGAGAAGCCAGTATACTTAGAAGTAGCCCTGTGTGAGATGTACTCCCAACAGAGGTAGGCTCGAGGTGCCAGGGTAGAACACTAGGAAGATATTTAGAAATAGAAAATTGAGGACTTTTGAAGCTAACTGTCAAAATTAACTTCTTTTCATTATTCTTTAACAGCTCACCACCACTAGGAATTTTCTAGAGTTTTTGTGGGTTAGCTTAGATATTTATTCATGATTACATTTTTCTTTTTTTTTTAGAAAATACATTGTTGCTTCTAGAGCACTAATTTTGAAATAGTATATACACATTTTTTTCTCTTTAGGGGATGTATGTATATTTTTAAATCCATGGTCATAGACTTAATATGTTAAGATTGTACAATAACTTTTGGTTTGAATATGTCCTATTTATGGAGATTCTACTTCATTTGTCTTGGTAATTATCTTTTTTTCATCCTGACTATTCTCATAGAAGCTGGAATGCCTTCTTCAGAATGGACCAAGAGGAAAAAACAGACTTTGAAAATTGGCCACGGAGGGACTCTAGACAGTGCAGCCGGAGGTGTTCTGGGTAAGAGATGTGAAGGAAATTTAACATTATTGCCCCTTAATGTCAGAAAGTCAAATTGGTTGGGTGTGGATTAAATTGAATAAAACCATGTCATTTTCAGTCTACTTTGGAATGTTTTAGTTCTACTGAATTTACAGTGCTATTTAAGCCCTTAAATGGTACAGAGTATACAAGGCCATTAGAAGTAGCAACTGTTATGTGTAGATGGAACTTTAAGAAAAGGTTTGTATATGGGCAGAACACAGTTATTATGGAAGGCCTAAAATTGCTTTCTTTAGAAAGGTCTGCTTACAAGGCTTGTTTTTGGCTGGCATCTGTGAACTTGGATTTTAGGAGTATTCCTGCTCTTTCCTGTCTTATAGAAGAGATTCTCTTCCTTGACTGTTTGCACACCTACTTTCCTTCTAGAAATTTGGAATTTTGCCTCACCGCATAGGCAGAGGGTGCCTATGTGGGTGACCATCCCCCAACTCTTCCTTCATCCCCCAATAGACTTTGGGCACTGCGTTTGCTGATGAGCTTCTTTAAGAGAAGCATTGCACACATTGCTGCTTTATTCATCGTTGCAGAGAGGAATAGGCTTAAGTATTTCACCTCATGGGAGGGACAGAAGCTTGTACATGGATTTCTCCATTGTCTTTTTCTCTGGTGACCCAGTGGTGTGTCTTTACTACATTAATAATAAATCTGAGCTGTTTATGAATACTTGAATGTGGGATGGTCACGGAAACTACTGAGAAGGTCTCTTTTGTCTGCCTATAGCTAATCAAATTTTTGAGATCAGCTCTATTGAGAAGGTGAACCTAATAGTTCTTGAGGAAAAGTTTTCTTTTGGGACCTATTAGGTGACCATTTCATTGCTTATGGAAGAAAAACTGACAAGACTTTATTAAGGGAAGAAAAATTATGTATCTGTTTTTATTCTGAAGTCTTTATGGACTGCTGAGGTTTTTCTGCAGAGGCTAGGGTGTGTTTCTGAAACTTTTTCTGTAACTACATCCATAGTCACAGAAATATATAGATTGGGTTTTTAAAGAGTTGATTGTAAACCATGATTTCATGATGTTCTAATGGGTTATGATTCATAGTTTGTAAAATACTGTGGTATCATCTTGAATCCATATTATTTCAACTAAAATCAGATACAAACAACAACAAACCCTAAGCTAGCCAAAAGAAATAAGTACTTATTTTTTTAAAAGAGAGGAATAAAATCAGTGGAGAACATAATTTCTTTTTTTTTTTTTTGGTACCTGGGATCGAACTCAGGTCCTTCCGCTTGCAAGACAGGCGGTGGAACCACTGAGCTAAATCCCCGGCCCTAAGGAGAACATAATTTCAAGAAAACTAGAAATAATGTATGATTTTACATTTCCTGAAATTACAGGTTTTGTTTAATTCATGTTGGCAAAAATACCTTTATTGCGGTAAAATAGAAAAAGTCACAAGGAAAGCTATTTTCCTACATGAGAGGACTTGGCTAGGCAGATCCTGACAACTGAAAACTAGTCTTTCTTTTACTAATGGTGACATTCATTAGGGCATTCATTAGTTGTATGCTTTAATCCTGAAAAGTATTAAAGCCTGTAAAGTAGGTGTTGTTATCCTCATTGTAAAGAAGAAATAAAGACTCAGAGAGATTAAGTAGCATGCCTGTTGCTGTAGAGTTAAAGAGGTAGCAAAGTCAGGGTTTCAGTGCAGATCTGCTCAGTGCCAAGGCCTCTGCCCTAGTGTGGGATGGTTGATATTTGGCACTCCTGCCTTTGCCCCCTTTGCCCACTACAGGAATTACCCATCAGTCACAGCACTGTTAGCATTGGTTCTGTAAGTGGCTTCATGATTCTCCTCAGCTTAACACTCTAGGTAGCCTCTGCCAGTTGATGGTCCTTGAATTTGTCCTAACCAATTCATTCAACTGCTTTCTAAGACACAACACAAGACAGCATGAGATCTGCTGCTTATTTAGGAACAGCCTAATTATATTAATTTCTGGTGGTTGGTCCTCATTGGTATGCAGCGATGTTCAAGGGATTAAATGGAATAGTTTATTTTCTACCCTCCAACAAGGGATCTCGTTGAAGCTTCTATTTTAGTATTAAGAAGGGGCTGAAATTTTTATATGTGAAAATCATATTGGAAAAAAATTTGCTTTTGGAGGCTTGTTTTGTCACAGGGACCTTTGTTCATATGTCAAATTTATTAATTTTTCTTTTATGTTTGTGGTTTCCAATGAGAAATAAAGTTGAAGTTATTTAGTCATAGAATAAGGAGTAATTTGTTGTCTAAATTAGCAGTTTTGGAAACTTATGAGTTGACTTTATTTTTATTGCATAGTAAAACACTAGACTCTCATCATATCCGTGTTTGTGTACTTGCTACTGACTGGTACACACATACTGACTTAACTATACACATTCTGGAAAAAAATCTCATAACCTCTCTGAATCTCAGTCTTTTCCTCTAAGCAGATAATATCTGCCTTAACTCTCAAAGGGTTATTAGAATCTTACACTTCACTTTGTGAAGTGCTTTCTAAAACTGGTGGTGGTCACCTTCTTGCAAAAATGGACTTGTGTGAAAATATAATTTTCTACATTTTAGGCTGTTTTTTTCTTTGTAATATTAAATGGTACAGATTTAAGAATTTAGCTATTTAGGAATATAATCTGAATTCAGGTTTATTATTCTGTACTATAACAAAATTACAAGAGGGCTTGAAAAATGTTTTAAAACACTGTGGTAGGTAAAATAATGCCCCCCTAAAGATGTCCACGTCCTCATCTCCAGAATCTGAATATGTTAGGTTACATCATAAGGAGGAATTAAGACTAGATAGAATTAATGTTGCTAATCAGCTGACAAAGACTTTTCCTAGAATTTCTAGGTGGGCCCAGTTAATCCCAAGAGTCTAAAGTAGAAGGAGCAGGCAGAACAGAGAGGTGTGGCAGTGGAAGCAGGAATTTCAGTGATGTGATTGCTGGCTTTGAAAAGAGAAGAGGATTGCACGCCAAAGAATGTGAATTAAAATCAAAATGGATCAAAGATCTAAACATTAAAACTAAAACATTAAACCTACTGGAAGATAAAATAGGTAAAACACTTGAAGACATAGGTGTAGGAAAAGATTTTTCTAAACAGAATTTCAGCTACACAAGAAATAACACCAAGAATCAACAAATGGGATTATATCAGACTAAAAAGCTTCTTACAGCAAAAGAATCAGATAGAGGACTAATATCTAGGATATGCAAAGAATTCAAAAAAAATCAAATTGCCTAAAATTAAAGACCCAGTCCAGAAATGTGCAAGAGAAATGAAAAGACTTCACAGAGGAAGAAATACAAATAGTTAACAAATATATGAAAAAATGCTCAACATCTCTGGCCATTAGAGAAATGTGAATTAAAACAATGTTGGGATTCCATCTTACTCTGGAAAGAATGGCAATCATTAAGAAATCAAACAATAACAAATGCTGATGTGGCTGTGGTGAAAAGGAACCCTCCTTCATTGTTGTTGGGAATGCAAACTAGTACAACCATTATGGAAATCAATATGGAGATTTCTCAAAGAACCAAAATTAGAAATTCCATATAACCCAGCTATCACCCTGCTGGGTACCTTCCCCAGAGAGTTTAAGAGATCATACTACAGTGGTAACATGCATACCAATGTTTATAGTAGCACAACTCGTAATATCTAAATCCTAATAAAGGATGGATAGGTGTTATGGCTTGTGTCTAGAGGTCTCCCCCAAATTCGCTAATGTGCTCATAGGTGGGAGTTTTGGAAGGTGGCAGGATCTAGGGTGTGTGATTACTGAATTAGTCCACTGATTGGTCTAGTATAGTTTTAGATGTGGATAATGGGAAGCCCCATCCTGGGTGTGGGTGGCACCACCTAAAAGGCCGGTAGCTTGGAGGGAAAAAAGGAAGCAGCTTCTTCTGCTGCTTGCTGCTTGCTGCTTTGCTGTCTCCTGCCTGCTTGCCATGACTCTTTTGCCTCTGCCATGCACCCTGCCTTGGAGCCAGCTGATTATGGACTGAAACCACTACAAACTGAGCCAAAATAAACCATTCTTCCTTTAACTTTGGGTGTGAGGTATTTTGTCACAGCAATGAGACAAATAACTAAGACAGAAGGGGACAAGAGAATGCATCTCTTGCAGGGGAATAAGAGGGGTGAGGAGGAGGAAAGGGGAAATAAGTAGAATAAAGATATGCCATGTACAGGAACCTAATAACTTCAATTTATGGAAACATGCTAGAACATGAGCTAAGAATAATATCACCAAGAATGAAAAATGGGATAGGCAGTATTTTTTTCTTTGGTACCGAGTTTGGTATCGAACTCGAGACCTTGCACTTGCTAGACAGGTGGCAGAAGCACTGAGCTAAATCCCCAGCCCTGAAAAATGGGATAGGGAAATTAAAGGAGAGAGGAGGTAGGGAAGGGGAAGGGGATTAAAAAAAAAAAGCTGTAGTATGTGCATGTAACCGCTCTCCAAGATGATTGTAAACTGCATATACTACAAACATGTACTAACAAAATTACAAAAAAAAGGAAAAGAAAAAAGGAAAGAAAGTGAATTGGTCTCCAGAAATTGGAAAAGGCAAGAAAATTACCCTAAGGAGACTAATGAAGGATTCTCCCAAGGACCTCCAGGAAAGAACACAGCTATACCAACCTCTTAATTTTTTAAGAATTGATACCTAGTAGTTGTGTTAGTCTAGTCAAACCCATTTCAGACTTCAGGCCTCTAGAATTATAAGAAGTTTGTATTGTTTTAGGCCATTAAATCCATAGCTTGTTACTATATCCATAGTAAACCATTTTCCATAAATAACGAGATAGAAACAGAATTTGTACATACCACTTTAAAATATATTGCTTTTTTTCTAACTTCAAAGGTTATAAAGGAGAAAAATTTTGGAAATACAAAAAACAAAGTTGAAAATTTAAAATTAACCATTTTCCTGCCTTCCACCAAATAATCAGTTAACATTTTTGCTATATTTCCTCTTAGTTTTTATCTGTGCAAATTCTAAAAGTTCAGCTCTATTTCATGTATTTTTAAATCCTGTTTTTCTGCTTAACAGTACAACAAATATTTTTCATATCAATTAAAAAACTGTAAACATTATTTTAATGGCTATAGATAATAGTAAAAACACAATTTAACCATTTCCCTATTTGAGGTCACTGAGGTTATTGCTAGAGTTTCATTAATAGAACTGATTTTGTGGGAACATCTTTATTAATAGGACCTTCCCTGTGTTTTGGATTTTTAGGGTAGATGCCTAGAATTGGAAAGATGCAGGTCTTGAAAGATGATTAAGAAGGTGTGACAGAGTTAGAAAAACGACAGTAGAAACTGCTAACTGTAGAAAGCTTTGGAGATATGCGGAGAGTACTTTGGCCTGTCCTAAATTGTCCTAAAATGGCTCTCACAATAAACTGGTTTTATCTTTATGATTTGAGAATAGACTACTAGGGCATTGGATAGGTTTGGAGATAGTGGGTTTTTTGCAGAGAACATCTGAGCACAGAAAATTTGGAAGATAAAGAGAGTAGTCATTGTATGTTTACAAGGGAAGTACTCTTACTCATCCATCCTCTAAACTCTGCACTTTTGCAAACCATGTCTTTGCCCGTGTTTTTATTTTATCTTCACATGAACTGCTTATTTCCATTGTCACTTGTATTGACTTTTTAGGTTTGGCTGAAACACTGTCTTCAAAGTATGAAGGCTGCCTGCTTTCTTTTTTATGTTGCTAATATAAAACTTCATTCTGTTCTTTCAGTGTTTTGTTAAGATTCATCTCCCTGTTAGATTATAAACCACCGAACTGATTTATCCCAGAGCTTATTTATTTCTGTATTTATATAGTAATGCAATTTTGAAGATCAAATGGTAGGCAAAAAGCTAAGGAAAACTTCTGTCCAGGAATGTAAGATTCCTTTAGTTCTCTTTTTGTATTTTTTTAAATTCGAGTTTGTTTGTTTGTTTGTTTTGAGTTAGGGCCTCGCTATGTAGTTCAGGCTGGCTTTGAACTCACTATGTAGCCCAGGGCGGCTTTGAACTTGAGGCAATCCTCCTGTCTCAGCCTCCCAAGTGCTGGGATTTCAAGCATGTGCCAACACACTCAGCTGTTTTGGTTTGTGAGACAAGGTCTTGCCTGTGTAATTTAGACTGGACTTGAACTCATTCTGTAGCCCACCCTGGCCTCGAACTCACAGTGTTCCTCCTCTTGCATCAGCCTCCTGAGTGCTGGAATCACAGGCATGCACCACCGTGCCCATCTGTCCTTCAGTTTTCATTCAGTCTTCACCCTTGCAGGTTGGAGGGGTCGAAATGCCAAATAATTTTTCTGCGTTGGATTGCTGTAGTAGTCTTCCCCAAATTCAACTTTCACTAGTTACTTACCTTCCATGGGCCTTGATTTTCAGGACTACAAAGTGAGATGGTTAAGCTGGGTAACTGTAAGATAACTTCCTTTAAAGTTAATCATTCTGGATCATTTAATTAGCTCAGAAGTTGTCATCAATTCAACATTTCAGCTACGGTAGAGTTAAATACGTCCACCTGCTTTTAAGACACCCTCTTCTCTGGTTGATAAACCCACCGTGCTCATCCTTGTCTCTGACAATTTGTGCAGTTTGTTCCTTCCTTCAAACATGCTGCTCTTCTCTGTGTGTGTTCAAGTCCTGCCTAACTAATGAAGCATTCTCAGGCCTCAGCCCTTTATTCAGAGTGGTCCTCTTTTCGCCTCCTGCAGCAACTGTTCTCTCCATTTTGATGCTTAATCATGTGTCGTTATTTAACATTATTCACTCACTAATTTAGGTAGCACTGTTTGAGCACTATGATTTCCCTATGTTTCTTGACCCCCATGAGATTATAATCCCTTTCAAAGTCAGAAGATGTGTTTTTGCCTTCTTTGTTGTCCCATCGGAAATGTCCCTCTAGGGACCTGTGCATGGTACCTCTTCAGAGAATTTGATTGAGAATTTATTTGAATGAAATCAAATTGCACTGAGTCTTGGATGTTATTCTTACACAAATTTTGCCTCATCAGCAACAGTGTTAACGAGTTCTGTCATTTGAAGAGTATTTTACTCTTTTGAGTATACTGACGGCAGTTTTGGATCTTTGTCCTTAAACTAATATGACTCTGTTTAGGGACCGAGGATCGATGTGAGCGGATATCATAGAAGTCTTCTGGGTTCTGGAATAGACTTTATGAATGAGTTGGAACTTTAGCTGGGCTTTGAAGAGTTGGTACCATAGAGGGCCAGGGATTTAGCTCAGTGGTTCCAGTGCCTGCCTTGAAAGTGCAAGGTCCTGCGTTCTGTCCCCGGTACCAAAAACAAACAAACAAAAAAGAGTTGGTACCATAGAAATGGAAATCTCATTAAGGGTTGCTGGGGGCTTTGTAGTGTGAGAAATGGGGTTTGAGCTATAGTAATGATATGAACTAGAAGAGAAAGGGACAGGATATGGAACAGTGAGATTTACGGTGGGTTAGGGTGGTGGCAGTAGAAAGAAAGCCTTGAGTAAAGTAGCAGGGGAAATATAAAGGTACGACAGAGTTTGATTTGAATTTTAACTCTACCATGTATTAATTGTGAGATACTAGACAAAATTTAGTGTCTCTGTGCCTCAGTTTCCTTGTGTATAAAATAGGGATAATTATGTAACCTCAGGATTGCTATAAGGATTGAATTAGATTATAAATCTATAAATTAGATTGTAAATCTAATTTCACTCTGAAAAGCATTCAGTGAACTTGATACATGGTAAACTCACTGAGTGATATTTGCTATAAGTATTGATTTTGTTTTCAGTTTTACAATAATTTCTCCTTGTTTCCTCCAAATTCTGAATTGTGGGGTCATATTGTGTTCTTATATACAGTTGTATGTATCCATTGATGATCAATACTTCAATTCTTGTAAAAAAATTGCCTACTATTAATAAATGATTAAATCCTGTCAACCTCATCTGGTAAAATATGATATTGTAAGGATAATGTTTGAAATTGAAGAGAAAGGTAGGCCTTTTTTTTTTTTTACAGTTTTACAGTTAGTTTGTTAAAGTACATTCTGGATATGGGTGTGCATATACACTATAATCCCAGCACTCTGCGAAGCTGAGGCAGAAGGGTCACAAGTTTGAGCCCAAGACCGGGTGACTTAATGGCTTAGGAAGACCCTGTGTCAAAATAAAAAATGTTTAATTTTAATTTTAATTTTTGGTACCAGGGATCAAACTTGGGTCCTTGCGCTTGCATAGCAGGCGGCCAAACCACTGAGTTAAATCCCTGGCCCAAAATAAAAAATGTTTAAAAGGCTGGAGATGCAGCTCAGCAAAGATTATAGATTCAGTCTCCACTGCTGAGGGAAAAGTCTCTAGACCATCATTTTTGCCTGTAATTTTTCTGTGCATTAGGTTGATTTGTTATGTTTCTCTTTTCTTGATTGTGTGCTGCTGGGCACTAATCATCTTTTAAATGGTTCATTAGCTATGATGATGGCTTTTGCTTCGTTTAATAATAAATTCTGTCAAGATTTCATCATACTATTTGAACATTTTTAATTATACCATGTATTTTTCACTGGTGCCCATATAAAACTCTAGTAAATACTTTGAGATTGTTCTAGAAAACTTCATTATCTTATTGGCTAGAGCGAGATTTCTTTCCTGTTTAATACTTTGAGATTGGAGAAAAATGTTCTTTCTCCCATTCCCTCTTTAGAATTTTTTTAGTTCCCTGGCAAGTTCAATTGATTGGAATAATAGGAACCCTTAAATTTTGTTAACTATATACTCTTTTCAACTTCACATTATATTGGCCAGAAAATTATGAACAAAACCTATAGATATTTTTTAAAGCTAGTTTTCAAAATAAAATGTCTTAATATTTTTCTCTTTGATTTGTAGTCATTGGAATTGGAAGGGGAACAAAAATGTTGACCAGTATGTTGTCAGGGTCCAAGGTAAGAATATTGGAATATTTTTATTTTTTCTTTAATGTTTTTCTTAATGACATTCTGATACTTTTTTTTTTTTTTTTTTTTGATACCGGGGATCGAACTTGGGTCCTTGCACCTGCTATGCAGGCGGTGAAACCACTGAGCTAAATCCCCGGCCCTTAATAACATTCTGTACATGTTGAATTTTATCAGTTAAAAAATAAATAATGTAAATTGCATGAACAAGTGTCTTTTCTCAGATCACAATGTCTGCAAACATATCTGAGGTTCAGATGTTGCAACTATAAATTAAAAAACCAATTAGACCTAAAGGAGCAAAAATTCAGCCATGTCCCTTGTTTTAAAAATGTAGACTTTTAAGATAGAATCAGATTTCTTAGATGAAAGTATAGGTTGTAAATTCTATTGGCTGATTTTTTAACTTTGAAATTTGTATAAAAACAGTACCATTTTGTAAACTATGCATTCTTAAGCAAAAAGATGCTTTGTTCCATGTTTATAAAATGTTTATTAAAGGGGCAGGGATTTAGCTCAGTGGTTCCGGTGCCTGCCTCGCAAGTGTAAGGTCCCGAGTTCGATGATCCCCGGTACCAAAAAAAAAAATGTTTATTAAAGAAAAGAGTAGGGGTACAATTCCCAATGAGAAATGTAATTGTGTTGTATACCTACAATGTACCAATAAAAGAACTTAATACAAAAAAAAAGAAAAGAAAAGAGTAGGACTTCTTTAAAATGATAAATTATAGGGCCAGGGAATTAGCTCAGTGTTTCCATCGCCCGGTATCCCCCCAAAAGATAAATTATATGCATCTATGAAAGTGGACTAGATACTAAAACACTTTTTCAGGGACTTGATCGGAGACAGAGGAGGGACTCCGAAGGCCAGAGAGGCCGGGAACCCGTAGACTACTTCCCACATTTGGTGCTGTGGAAGCAACAGGGAGATGGAAATCAGGGTGTCAAAGTGGTTAACCTCTCTGGGAAAATGATCAGTGTCCCTTCCAGCTCTAAAAGGGCTAACAGGATGTGTATTTTAATTAGCAGTTAGGCCCTGGTTATAATAGCCGGGTGAGGGACCAAAATGGCTGTGAAAGGAAGGTTAATATGCTGTAAATAGAGAAGAATTTTAACACGTTCCTAGACTAGTGCTCGCTTCGGCAGCACATATACTAAAAAATAAGTTCTTAGACTAAACTTCTTGTTTTAAAATCCTTGCGCCAAATGTGACATAAATAGTTGGTAAAGAATTTCCAGTTTGGGCCGGGGATTTAGCTCAGTGGTTTCGCCGCCTGCTGCGCAAGCGCCAAGGACCTGAGTTCGATCCCCGGTACCAAAAAAAAAAAGAGAAAAGAATTTACAGTTCGTTGAAGACTGATTGCTGCTTGTAAAATATAATTAAAATGTTAGGCAATGTGCAATTGCTAAGTAAATTCTGGACACCCTCATTTTCTGAGCCTGTCGGATTAATGGTTACTGACCCCAAGGGTCACAGTTTGAGTGGCAGTAGTCTAAGTTTTTCTCAAATTAAAATCCCTAGTTTTAAAATCCCAAAGGGCCTGAAAACCTATGCCTTTCTGTTGGAAGGGAACTTAGTGCCTTAGATAAATGAAGAATTTCACTGTGTCTGGTTTGTTATCTTCAAAATATTAGTGTTGAAAAGAATCACAGAATACAAAAATTGTGTTAGAATGGAAGCATTTGACTGTTTCCCCCAAAATTTATACATTGAGCTGAATGCCAACACACAGAGTTTATAATCTGTTTCTGGTACAAGTTTTGCCAGTTGCTTAATACTTGTTTCTTAACTCCAAAATATAAACTATGGTTATGCAATAGGGGAAAATGGATGGTTTTATTTTCTTGTTCACATTATTTGGTATTTTCTAAAATCTTTACAATAATCAAGTCACTTTTATATTAATAACTAAAGATATGTTTACATTAAGAAATTTGGTTAGTTTTTTTTTCCCCAACACAAAATCTGTCTAATTCATTGAAATATGTGTTATTCACCACCCCCAATCCAAACCACAAGCATATACAACATACTCTATGTTGTTGAAACAACTTGTGAATTCCAGGCATATTTTCACAAATATGATGACTGAAAATATAAATACATCACTGGCTCTGGTTTAAATATTGTTACAAACCATTTTGCTCTTCTCCTAGGAAAGCTAAATGTCATATGGTGAAATGAGGGATCCTCAGATGGCTGTAACATAAATAGAATAACCCAGGTGTATCTTGTTACAGAAACCAAGTTCTTGGGTTTTTCACAGTTGAAACATATGCATCATTGTCTTGGTAACTGTATTTCTTATACTATTCAGGATAAGCCTGCCAGGTCTTTAAGGGAGAGGCAGTTTCTCTGGGCATAAAATCAGAAAGAAATTGCTTACAATACGGGACATTGAATAACAGGTGATGGTTCGCAAAAATGTTTTCCAGCAGATGTAGATCTACATAAGATGTAATTTAGATAAAATGATTCTGAGAAGTTAGGCTAATGTACCGTTGGCCTAACTTGGCCTAAGTACAGGGTATAGATTATCTAACAGAAGGCAAGTCTTTCTACATCTTCCCTAAATTATACTTTCTTTGAGTCTAATAGTCAGCCAAAGCTGGATAGCAGATGTTGTACTTTGAAGTAACAGTCTTTGATGAGGTGTTGGAGTGCTAGCTTTATTAGTTTTCGTATATTGATGATTAAAGTTGGTTACTTTATAGATGTTTTAGAAATCAGATAAATAGATATAAGAGTTGATGTACTTTTATGAAAACTTGAATCTAATTAGCATTGTCCCCGTATAGGCTACCCCCATATATGGAAGAAAGCCGTAGTGGTACCTGCAGGCAAAGGCAGAATTTCCTTAGAAAGCAGATTTATTATCACCACCAACAGATGAACAAGTATTATTGTTGGGGTATATAAAAATTTCTACCACGAATGTGTTCAAAGAACAGAAAGTTTCCCTAAGAACATTATAGCATTTTTTTAGGTGAACTGGTCCCGAGGCCTCTGAAGTGTGACTCAAATAATGCTCCTGTGAAACTCATGAAAATTTCAGCATTCTAATCAGTCTTCTCCAGACGCTAGTCCAATTTGTACCTTTTCTTTATTCTCTGTTATTGGCCACATATTTCATAAGAGCTATATTGAAAACTTTGCAGGCCTTATACTTAGGAACCATAAAGAGTATTTCTTCTTCTTTTTTTTGGTACCGGGGATCGATCTTAGGACCTTGCATTTGCAGGGCAGGCACAGTGCAACTGAACTAAATCCCCGGCCCAAAAGATATTTCTTCTTAATGAAGACATTCAAGGGGTTTAGTAGGTCTTTAAAAAGTATCCTCATCTAAATAATATGCTTCTTTTTACTTGTGAAAATTTGAGTCACAAAGTTTTAGAATCAAGCATCAGACAAAACAGTTGCTTATTTGAGATAGAAATTACTGCACACACTTCCTGTAATATAAACATTTTCCTTTCTCCTAAAGGTTACAGAAGCTGATTTGGTTGTAGAGATGTCTAGTAATATCTGCTGTGGGACTTAGGGAGTTTGAAGGTGAGTACAGAGTAGAGTAGTATTAGTGAGAAACCATAAGTCCTAAAGAACACACACTCAATGGAATAGTCTGTAGGTCTACAGTTTTATTATAGTGTAATTATGTTGCAATGAATATAGTAATAGAATTCAAAATTCTGAGGTATACATCCTGGAGAATAAACAACTCTAAAATCTCTCTGTAATTTAAGCCAGTGAAAAAAAATACTTTAGGGCCCATGGGATAAAAATGATGTGGCTATATGTGTACAGCTTCATTTCTTTTTTCTTCTATATCATATCTTTTTGATGGTGAAGCTTTGTTTTAGCTGGAGGATAACCTGTCTGGGGCAGGTTTTTCTAAGTAGTTTGTAGATAACTGAATATAATTGATGGTTAATTATTAGATGCCAGGACAGGGTAAAACTAGAAAACAGCTATGATTTAGAGAATCGTTGATTCACAAGGTCTTGAGGCTCTTTGGTGGTGGTGGAGGGATCACTGGAGTCAAAACTAGTATTTCTGTAGTTTTGCCTTTTTTTACTTTAAACTTCACAGATGTATAGTGAAGTTTTTCAGAGGATACCAAATGTGCAGTGACATCATTGCTGTGATGGGTGATGGAATGTGTACATATTAATGTTTTAAATATCTTTCAGTTTTAATTTCTAATATAGTAAATATTGACTGGTACACTGTATTCTTTTAAAAATCCATGCCATGATTTCTCAGTAAGTTTTAAGTGTGTATAGGGGTTCTGAAACCAAAATGCTTGAGAGCTGATGCTTTACATATTAGCTCCCTCCAAAATAATCCAAGATGTAGCCAAATACACAATAGCTGTGGAACCTGGAGTGATTTGAGAGTTGGCAGATACAATCTCGGTGTCCAAAATTAGGGTGAAATGTGAAGACTTTTATGCATAGAAACTGCTCCAGTGTCTTTATAATTCTATCAAGAAACTTTTATTAAACTGCTACCATGTTTCTATCTAGTAAGGAATACAATAGAACAATAATGCAAAATCCTGGTAATTTGAGAATGTAAGAATCAATATATAAGTTATACTTGGAAAACGTAGTCACATATGGGTAGTTATGTGTGAAACAGTATGTTATGAGAATTCGGTAAGATGAACTGCTGGTGACTGCCCTTATGTCTATTATCATCATTCTGCTCATTCCCCTCTGTGGGAGTTGTTTTATTGTTATCTCATCCCCTTACATTGTAACCTCCTGGACGCCTAAATGCACTTCTAGTTTATATCTGTGTGTCTTATGTGTGTCTCCTAAGTACCTAGAAGTACCTAGAAGAATTCTTTGTACATTCATAGTCCTTAAGAAACATAGTGGAATTTGTGGATTTGATACAGCCCTTAATTCTTTCTAGGTATGAAATTTGTCTTGAGCATCTATCTACTCTTGGCAGTGTTTGGGGAATGGGTGATTAGGAGTTG